TAGAGGACCCTTCAAACCTGGTAGGTAGTACCAGTCATGATGCTTCAGAGGGAGAGAAGTAGTGGCTGTAAAGGACGGTCCTTCAAAGGGAGGTCAGTCCATGGGTCAAGGAACAGGGACTAAGCTCCCAGGTTGGATCTGAGAGGGCCTAGAGGGAAGACGTGTAGCGGGATAGATTCCACAGGGGCTCTTGAATGAATTGTGGCCAGTATGGTCACATTAGATCTAGGTGCCCCAACAAGTATGTCCCGCTAAAGGTGCAGCTGCAGGTTGCTCAGAACCACAGGCGGCTTAGGAAACACGTTCAGCCAGTAGTAGTAGTGACCGCTTCTGTAGAGGCTGAGCAGGTAGGTGATCCCTCAACCTCTCAGCATGGGATGGATACGGTCACTAACCCTAGTATCACCACGCAGGCTCATCCCGATCACGTGTTGCTCTGTTCATGAGATGTGTCTGAGTCCTTAGAGGAGCTGAAGCAGGAATTGTCCCGGAAAGACCTACTAGCTTCCTGGGTGACAGTGGCAAAAGGTCCGATAGGGGAGTTGATTGCGGTAGAAGTCAGTGTATGTGGCTGTAAAGTAGGGGCAATAGTAGACATTAACTGTACTCGCAACTATACAAGTTGTGCTTGTGTTGATAGGTGGCGCTTAGGGACCCAGGTGCAGCAGCTAAGGAGACCGGTAGTATCTACGTTAGCTAACAAGCAGCGGTTTGTGGTAAAAGACTATGTGAAAGGCAGTATGTACCTTCTCCTATGGGGGAGGGCAAAAGAAACATAATGTTTCATTTTCGGTATGTGACGAGCTTCCTTTCCGTATGATACTCGGGATGTACGCTCGAGGTTGCCAAGCCCCAGTTGGACTGGGACAGAGAGATGCTGAAGTATGAACTGGCTGAAGGGAGAACAATTCTTCTGAATAACTACAGTTCCTAAAAGTCGACAGACTCTTTGGTTGTTTGTGCGCTCATGCATTTGCGCTCATGCATTCTAACCGAGAGGAGGGAATGTACCTAGTCTTCATGTCTCAGAAGGGGCAGGCCCTTAAGACACCTCCAAAGATAGAAAAAGTCGTTGCTAAGTATTCAGACCCTCAGGAGGAGTCCTCAGGAGTCGTGGAAAGAAAGACCGTCCATCCGATAGGGATTATACCGGGTAGTACAGTGCCCAGGGGTGGGATCTATAGGAGCAGAGTGTTTGGATTTGGATTTGAACCACCAGTACATGGCCCCAGCCTTGCAGTCCGAAACTTGTCGCCACAARAAAACGAGGCCGAAACGTGAAACACCGCGCCCGCCGTTGATAAGTTAGATCGGCGGGCGCAGTTTCGTTTCGCGCCTCCAGAATTTGAGGTGTCAGGCCCGCGGCCAGGTGCCCATGTAGGGTCTGCATCTAGGCTACCAGAGTGGCCCGGGTCCACTTGCCCGGCCGGGCCAAATAGATATAAAAAAATAAAAAAAATAAAAATTATTCTTTAATTTAAATTTTTATTATTTTTATTTTAAATTTTGTAAAGAATTTCGATGTGACCCTGAGGCAAAAGTTGTTCAGTTTATTTTACTGCATAACATAGTTTTTTTTTCGGATTTTTTTGGATTTTTTGTATTTATTTATTTTTTGGCTGGGACCTTCCCTGGTCCTTGCACAGCCGGGCCGCCCGGGAAAATAGGGTGACCCGGTCGGCCCGGCTGGTAGCCTAGATCTGCATTAAATAATTTAACGCGCGTTGAATCCGCATTAAACTGGCATTGAACAGCCAGTTTAATGTATATGAACGCGACCTGTGGAGATTCTTTTCGTGGGCATAGAATAAGCCAAAAAAAAAAAAAAAAAAAAAAGGTTTCCAGAGCTTTTCGAGATCTACGACCCCATTTTTTTTTTTTTTGTTCTTCTGAACTTTATGCGAGGATTTAGTTCCTCGGCAGCGTCTGAAAGTGCCGTGCCTGCCCTAAGTGAAGGGGGGCCTGCAAATATGTGCCAATGCCTGGTTATAGGGCTATGAGACCAGGCTAAGGGGCCCAAGCAGAGCCTGTTGGAACCCCTAAGTGGGCATAGGTCTTCGACGAGGCTTTGCTACGAGTTTGCTCCTCAGCATGCCCCTGCAGGGCCCTTTTTGCCAGCATGAGCCTGCCCTAAGTGAAGGCGGGCCCTTGAATTTCAATATGCCCTGAGTTCGTCAATTTTGGCAAAGTTTGGTGGGCGCCAGACAGTTGCCATGCGCCAGTTGGTTACATCCTCCATACTCGTGAGAATCAGAAATAATTTGTGAGCCTTCTAGGCTCTTCCAGCAGCACAGGCGAAGCAGGGAGAACCTGGGTGGTTGGGCAGGCCGCAGATCTAACCAATTCGGTCCCAGGCCATTGTCTGAATGGGCCTGAGCGCAGACACTTTCGCCCGATCGGAAGCTACTGGAAACAGATGAGGCCCAGCCAGACAGCAAACTGGGCGAGCATTTTCCATAAAGGAAAGAGCTTGCCACTGGTGGGCTCATTCGGGCACTAGGCAGTGCATGCAGCAGCGCTGCTTGAGCATGCGCTTGCGGGCTGTGCGCTGTGCATCAGCGCTAGTTGCCAGGCAGTGCGCGCGGCCGCTGGAAGAAGGCAGGGCGCTGCTGAGGGCAGCGCCATAGCCAGCCCTACATAGCCAGGGCTTGGCTTGGACAGCCAGTGGAGGTGGTGGTGGTTTTCGTGTATGAGGAGGAAGACGTGGGTAGAGAAAACGAGGGAGAGAGAGCGAGAGAGCGATGAGGATGAGGATGTGAGGGCACATACCTGGTCTTGGCGATGGTCCACAGGGTCGACATCTTGATGTACTTCGGTTGTTGCTGCTGACGTCAACAGACTGCATTGTCAATTCGTAGGTTGCTAGTAGCTGTGTGATTGTAGTCTGGCGCTGAGCGCCAAGTAAGGAGGAAGGGCTCTGGATACATACGTTGGTGGTGGGAGAGTATCCTCTCATTGACATTCGGATTCGGTGCTTTGGTTCTCCGTTGGTGTAATATCAGCGCATTTCTGCTTTCTGCCAGTTTCTGGACAGCATTGGACTTTCTGGCTTTCAATGTGATTTTGCATTCTGGATTTCTGTCATTTCGCTATCGCTCATTTTCCTTGCATTTAAATATATTTTTAGAAAATCAAAAACATAAAAACAAAGAAAAAAACCAAAAAAAAAAAAAATGAAATGCGTGGGTTAAACAGTTAAACTGGGTGTTTGTTCTTTTCACAGAGAAACATCAGCAAAAAAAGACGTCAAAAATACAGGGGTGTCTAGTCTGTCGACCCTTTTTTTTTTTTAATCAAAAACATAAAAACAAAGAAAAAGACAGAAAAAAGATGAAATGGGTGTTTTTTTTTTGGACATCACAGGTCGTGGGCACGCGTGTGAGTCCGCGTGTGTGTGCGTGTGAGGGCGCACACACACCACACACACACATGTATGTGCGCGCCTGTGTGTGTAGTACTGTGTACACACGGACACACGCGTGTGTGCGCACACGTGTGTACACACAAACACACACGCACAAATGCGCATAGTTGGTTTTGTTTTTTTATCAATCAATCAATGAATCATTTCATATTTTTTGAAGAGCGCTGCCACGTGGCGGGGCTGGGGCCGGACTGGGGG